CCGCAAGCTGGCAGCCGCGCCCTCGCCCCTGCCGGCCGGTGCTCCCCGCGTCTCCCCTCCAAGAGGCTAAGAAAGGCTTGCTCCTCGGCGCCCCCCGCCCACCCCGGCGTTTCCGTCCGGCTGGTTCACGGGCCCTTTCCAGGCCGGTGGTGAATGCTCGCTTTCGCTGACCGCGGCGAGGGCGGCCCCTCTTCCCGTCGAGGCCCGTGCGGAACAACAGAAAGGGCCTCAGATGTACTGGCTTCCACAGATCCATTGTTTGGCTTTTGTGGAGCGGTTCTGAACCTCGTAAGTGAGGTCGAAAGTCTCCAGCGCGGCCCCAAATGTCCCTTTTGAAGCATCTCTGATAGTATTTTTGTGCTGCGGAGTCTCTCGGGGTTGCAAAGACTTTGTGCCTCACAGTAGGGATGGGGTCCATCGCGTGCCACCTGGCAACGTGCCTCGGGGGACTCTCAGGACCCCTCTTTGGTTTTGCTTTCGCAGGTAGACGGTTTCACTTGCCAGCTCGGCCGCAGGTGGAAGGGTGTCTGCTAAGTAAGGGTTCTTAGCATTTCTGAACAGAGACTCGGAAAACATAATTGAGTTCTGTCATTTCATACTTAACGTGAGTTTGATTACTCTGGTGTGCCCAGGGGAATTCCTCAGACTATATTAAGGATTTTATGTTTGAAATCTGAAGCTGGACCCTAGTTTGGGGCCCTGAAACACTCGGAACTGAGTTTAATGTAAAAGATGCTGAATTTGCTGATTTGTAGTAGAAAATTCTGGAGCAGCTCAGGGCAAATTTTATCAAACTGGTCATTTAAGACAATATTTTTGATTTTGGTTAATTTAACAGAGTAACATAACAGTTTTTTCATTATGATGGAGTACTGAGACCAACTTGATCAAATGGTTGTCAGTTTTTCTCTTTTTAATATAGTTTTTTTTTGTTTAAGCATTCAGAGAGAAACAGAAGTCAAAGTGATCAATATATCCATATGCAGATTTGCACTCAAGTTCCTTGCAATTCTCCCACAGGCTTAGATGTATAAAGTTTGATATTTGGAGGTTGTAAAATCTTACTGCCTTTAAAAAACTTTCTTTGCTTCAGTTCAAATTAACATATACAGTATGCCTACATTTAAGACAGCATTGTGTCTCAAGTACAAATTTAAGTCTCAAGGTTTCAAGAGGAATGAAATGTTATAAGTAAGTCTGTGTACTTCTCTGAAGACTATTTAATTTTTTGAACATGAACATTCTCTAAGAGTAACGCACGTTAGAGAAAAATGGTGTCCCTAAAATTTAGGGCCTTCCTGGCTCCAGATTAATAATTTTTATAATAAATATGCTTTTGACTTTATTATTTATTGATTAACATGGTTTTGTTATAAGACAGTGTACAGGTTATCAGTGATGATTGTTGTGGTTACTGGAAGATATAATGGCATCTGTTCACCAGAGTGACAACCATGAGTTCAACTTCATGCCATTTGGCTGGGGAGAAGTGTGTGGGCAAACTCATGAATTTTATGTAGAATTTTGATTCTGGGATATATATATATATTTTTTTTTTTCCGAGTTGGAGTCTCACTAATTATGAGTCAGCGCAACTGTTTTTATTTTCAGATCAAGAGATCTTGCTTTAAGTTTTTCTGAATCAACAAACTTTTTATAGTGGTCAGTTTCAAGAATAGAAAATATATTTGGTACAGTAGATGAATTCCCTCAGCTGTAGAAGTACAGAATATTGAGGTCCTATGAGGTCCTATGGTTCAAATTTGTGAGTGTATTGAAAACAAAATACAGAGGAAGAAATTCTCTTCAGAATTGAGGAAACAGACGCAGGCAGAAGATGTGAAATATGTGGTATGCCCTATTCTAAAGCAGTTTCCCAAAGTGTGTTCCATGGAACGCTAGTACTAGGAAAATGCTTTGTGAAATGGAAAGTCTATAGATAAACATGTCTGAGAGATGTGGCCCATCATGTACCCTCTTGAAGAGTCATAGTAACATATTAAGTCCCTGAGAAATCCCACGATTAAAAACTCTGCATAGCTCTGTTTGATCCAGTGTTTCTCAACTTTATTTAATCTGGAAACCCTGATAGGGGTGAGTGTGTGTGTGTGTGTAAACACATATGTGCGTTTTTAAAAGCACCTGTTTATATTTTGGAGCATGAGTGTCTTATAGAACACATTTGAGAAAACATTGCTTTAAATTTTATTATAAGTGTATCGGAATCTGTATAGACTCGTAGGGTTCAAAGTAAAAAAAATCTTTAAAAAAATTACTTTTGTTTTATTTTAGAATTAAGGGGTACATGTTAAGATGTTAAGTAAGATTTGTTACATAGGTATGCCATGGGTGATCGCAAGGTTTGGGCTATGATGAACACCTGCCCCTGGCAACCCGGTGGTGAGCATGGTGCCTGACGGGTGTTTCTGCAGCCTTTACTCTTCCTTCTTCCCTCCACCCTTTAGTAGTACCCAGTGTCTGTTGTTCCCATCCTTTGCCCATGTGTGCCCAGTGTTTAGTTCCTACTTATGAGTGAAAGCTTGAGGTTCAGTTTTCTGTTTCTGAAATAATTCTCTTGGAATGATGGTCTCCAGCTGCATCGACATTGCTGCAAATGTCATCATTTTGTTCTTTATGGCTGTGTAGTATTCCATGGTGTATAAGTACCACATTTTCTTGTTTGGGGGGGCAGGGTGGGACATAATGCTGGCTTTCCTTTATAATTATATTTTATTTCATTATAGAGATGTGGGGTACAAGTAAACAAGTAAGGATTAACTGTACAAGTAGGCTGCATGCAGCTGACGTGTGGGCCTCCGACTGGCCCTCATTCCCCCATATAGGACCAAGTATGCTTTGGGTTGTTACATGCCCCCCCTCAGCAGTGTCCAGTGACTGCCAATCCCTCCCGTGTGCTATTGTGATTAATGTTCAGGTCCCACATATGAGTGAGAATATATGGTATTCAGTTCATTGTTTCTGTGACAGATCACTAGGTATGGTGGCCCTCAACTCCATCCAATTTGCTGCAAAGTCCATGATTTTGTTCTTTATGACTGCACAATACTCCATCATGTATATGTAACACATTTTCTTTATTCAATCCATCATCGATGGGCACCTGGATTGGTTCCATGTTTTTGCTATTATGAATAGTGCTGCAATAAACCTATGAGTGCAAGTGCCTTTTTGGTAGAATGACTTATGCCCGTTTAGGTATATACTCAGTAGTGGGATTGCTCAGTCGAATAGTATCTCTATTTCAAGTTCTTTGAGAAGTCTCCAAACTTCTTTTCATAGGAGTTGAACTAGCTTATATACCCACCAGTGTACAAGGATTTCCTTTTCTTCCCAATCTCACCAATATCTGTTGCTTTTTGACTTTTTAATAATAACCAAGCTGACTGCTATGAGATGGCATCTTATTGTAGTTTTGATTGCATTTCTCTGATTATTAGTGGTGTTGAACATTTTTTCATATGTTTGTTGGCCACTAGCATGTCTTTCTTTGAGAAGTGTCTGTTCATGGCCTTTGCCCACTTTTAATGGGGTTACTTTCCTGTTGATTCATTTGAATTCCTCATAAATCCTGGATATCAGGCTTTTGTTGAATGCATAGTTTGCAAATGCTTTTTCTCATTCTGTGGGTTGTCTGTTTACTCTCTTGACAATTTCATTTGCTGTGCAGAAACTTTTTTACTTGATAAGATCCCACTTGTCAATTTTAGCTTTTGCTTCATTTGCTTTTGAGGACTTGGTCATAAACTTATTGCTTAGGCTAATGTCCAGGAGAGTGTTCCCTAGTTACTATTGTTACCTGAAAACAATGCCGAATTAAGTTCATAATTGGGAATGAAGCAATTTTAGGAAATACGTAGTATGTGTTGATGTGAGGCACAGGCAGTAAGGTCTAGAATGAGGTCCTATGGTATAAAATAATTGTCATATAGGTTCTGTATTACTGCTTTCTTTTATTCCTCAGAGCTATGTAATTTGAATTATGGTACATTTATTACTACATACTATAAATATATTTTAAGAAACATTCTAATTTTTATGGAAAAATATTTATGGAAAAATGTTTTATGAAAGTTGCATTGGAAAATAGATATTAATGATTTTTTAAATGTTGTGCAATGAAGAAACTAAGTATTTAAGACAGTCTCTAGTGAATAATGCTTGCAAGTGAGGAATACTTTATAACATATAAAATAGATAATACTTGTAATGACTGCTAACATTTATTGTGTTTATGTACTAGGGGTTCTAAATGTTTAATATGTATTAATTCATTTAGTTATTACAATAACTTCATGGAGTAGTTACTGTTGTTAACATTACTTCCTGTATTTTTAATGACAAAAGTAACAATTTACAAATATACACATACATATAAATAGACTTTAAAACTATATTGCATATTATAAAATTTTATCATATATATTATAAAGCTCTATTGTACATTATATGATTAAAGCTTGTATGTATGCACATATGAATATGTGTGTGCATTCCACAAACATCTACAAACCAGTTTTCATACCGACTATTGGTACATAAGTGAGGTGAGTATATAAACTCTACTTATATCCCCTCACCTCCTGGGTAACATGGTGGAGAATGGGAGGTGATGATTGTTGGTAGACAACATATAATATGACTGAACTCTTTGAGGAGCAAAGTATGATAAGAGATTATTGTTACATAGTTCTTTTTGTTTAAAACAACATCATCCCTGTAAATAAAAGTTCAGGAAAAAAAAGAAGGGAAGGAGGTTTTGTGGGTTATGAAAGATGGCAGCACTTTCCAAAATTATTGGAGCTGATCAACGTCAGACTTGAGAGAGCGATGGGAAGTGGCAGTGGAAGCAATCAGGAAAAATCTCAGCGCCTGGGGCCAATCCAGATCTGAAGAGCCAAGGATGTGCTCCTGTAAATGTGACCTGAACTTCCGGTCACTCACTTTCACCATTAGCCAGAGTTTCTTCACCGTTAAATTGGGATGCCATGTTTTGTTTACTACAGAGAATAATTTGAGGATCAAGCCTGTTATCAAACCAAAGCATTTTGAAAATTAAGAGTAGTGTCCAAATCCAAGTCACTATATTATGACTAATGTCACCAATAATTAGTACATATATCATCATTGATTACATAGGGCTAATTTAAGG